GATTTTTGATAAAATTATCATGATAAAATTATTATTTAATTAAATACTAATAATGTTTAACTCAGTATCTAGAGTGAAACATGATTAACCCATGTAACTAAATAATAAATACCAAAATAAAAAACAAAAGAGTTATTATTTTCAATAAATTCATTATTCGTATTAATTATTATATGTACTTATTACTAGTTTCAACTGATAATTAACAAATACATTTAAAAACAACAAATGAAGTGATGATAATGATATTAATACATTTTAAATGAATATCATTAAAATTTTGATAAAATATTAATTATCATTTCTCAGTTAATAAAATATTTGTATTTTTTATATAACTAACTAAAATTCATATCAGCTATTACTCTTTCTATTCCTTCAAATTATTATTTGAAATAGAACTAAATTTATACTTTATGAAAATAATTAAACAAAGAAATATAATAAAAACAAGAAACAACTGATTATTATTACTTCAATTTTAATGATATAAAAATAAACGAAACAATAAGAATGTGCTGAGAAATTGTTATGTAATAAATTAAAGAAATGTATTAATAATTAAAATATCATTTAATAATAACAAATATTACAAAAATGATAATAATATTATAAATATTAAAAGTTAAATACAAATGTTAAAATGATTTGTAATTTATAAAGAGTATTGAAATGAGTAAATTAAAGTTGAAATTATCAAACCCTTCATGAATTTGTTGAAATTTTTGCTTATACATTCTATTTAAAAGAAGAATAGAAAAATAAGTTAATGATTATGAAATAAGAATTACCCAAACAGAAATAACAATATGAATAATATAAATAGAAAAACAAACAAGAAAAGAGTGAATAAACATTTGATGAAAGAAATAGAGAATTAATTGAAAAGAAAATGAGGAACTTAAAGAAATAAAAAAGAAATTAAAATTATGAAATTGATATAGATGAAAAGATAGTTTTTAGTATTCATCATTTTTTAATTAATAAATAATAGAAAGAATAAACAAAAATAAAATCAAGTATTCAATTTTCTCAAAAATAGAAAAAAATAAACTAAAGAGGATCATATATATTATTTAATTGAAATGTTAATACAACACTATTTTATCAAATAATATCGAATATATATATATATAACTATTGTTTCATATAAAGAAAGAAATTTGGAAGATATGTTAATTCGAAAAAGTATAGTAATAATTTTATCATTCATTCATTTTCATTAGAATCAAAATTTAATGCTAAAGTATTGAATAGATTATTTTTTTTCTAAAGAAATAATTAAAAAATTAATACTTCTATTACATGAATTGAATAAAATGGAATATCAAATCCTTCTTAGAAAACAAATTTCAAATCATTCTACACTAAAACAAATTAAAGTTATTGAAATTCCTTTTATTAGTAATTGTTTCAAATACACAGAGCTAAACAACTTTTAACTGACTTATTGTTTTCTAAAGTTCTATTATATTTTTAATAAAACTTTAAGTTAAGACATTTTTATTCATAAGTGAATGTATTTTTTACTTCTATAAGTTTTAAAAAGAAATAAATGATGCTTCTTAGATAATTTTATTGGAATAGTATTAAACCATTTTACATTTAAACAAAAATATTTGATTTTATATCAAAAGTGATCAATCAAAATAATATAAACTACTCATGAAACATAGTACAGTATTCTTATTGTTAATGAAATATTTATTCTATCCATAACTATCATAAAAGTCTTGGATAATAAAATGCTCATAAATGAAATCCTATAACAATGCTAGGTAATGAAACTATTTGATAACCTAGACAAGTGCTGTAAAAGAAAAATACTCCATTATAATGTTTTTTATTTTTTTTTAAAGAGACTGTCATATAAAAATTGGTTTAACTAAAAATGTAATTAATATATTAACAAGGAATATATATTATATCAAACATAACCATTGAAAAAAAAAAGAAATAAGTTAAAGAAACAAAGGGTCTAACATAAGTTTTCATTTAAAGATGTCTCTAAAAATAATTTTCATAGAACAAAAAAATAACTTCAAAATAGATAGAGAAGATTAAAAAGAGCTAGATCTTATAAAAGAGTGAGGAATCAAGAAAGGTGACTAATAAATTTACTCATAGTAATAATATTTTAGTGAAATTAGATATCATTTTACATTTGAAAAAAATTAATTTTAAGTAGTGTTTCTTTTAAAAAAAAAACTAAGAGATAAAGAATGAAGAAAGACAATTCGTGTCACACTGAGGTGTTTTATTTTATAATTATTAAAGGATTAAAATAAATCACAAAAATGTTAAACCCTTTTCCAAAAATAATATAAAAGAGAGTAAAGAATGAAAAATTGAATAGAAGAACTAAATAATAAGTCCAAACATTGAAATTACGTAAAAGAAAGTGAAATGAGTTTCAATGGATCATTTAATAAACATTATATTCCAGTGTATCCACCACATATAAAAAAAGAAGATGAAAGTAAAAAAATAAAAAGAAAAAATGGAACGAATGAAATTCAAAAATCACAATTAGTTTTGAGAGATTTTTTAAATTATATCACAAGT